TATATGATACAGCATACAGTGTTAACTATAGTCATCAATTTGTACGGTATATTCCTAGTACTTTTAACTGGAAATTTGTCCCTTCTGTCCACCTTCCTCCAATTCTCCCACTCCCTCTACCTCTGATAACCACATCAGATCTCTTTTTCTATTATTATTTTTTTTTACTCAATTCTTAAGATTTCTTCTTACATAGGTATATGAGCCATTTTCTGTCATCACCCACACTCTTAATCACTATACTCTACTGCTGCCCTGCTCTGGCACTTTATCCACATAAACCCCATTCGTCCAACATTTATAATTGGAAGTGGCTCAAATTTTCGTCACAGAATGATTTATATGTAGCATAGGCCCTTAAAACCCACTATCTAGGACCATTTTTCACAGTTGTGTTCCCCTGAAGCTCCACTAGTCCTGGAGGAATGGAGGCAGCTAAAGTAGCTTGATAGCCTATGGAGGGGGATAGGGGTCAGGAGGGAAATATTTGCTTCTAAGGCTCTATATTTTCTACAGTCCTAGCCCTACAAGGTGAAGAACTTAATATCTCTTTTTTTGCAATTTTCAGGCCACACCCCCCAATACTAATAATCAAGGTGAAATCACACTTTCTGGGGTAGCAAGATTTCTTGCCATGGCAGTCAGCTTATGGAGGAGGGCAATGAAGGAGGTCCACTATTCTGTTTCTTATACTGTAGATGAGCTTGAGAAAAAAAGCTATAAACTTTTTTTGTTTACAGTCTTATCTGTACCACTGCCAGCACCTCATATAGCATCCTCACTATTTCTCCTGTGGAGTGAACTTGTCTCATTTTTGGAGGGTGTGGGGAGCTGGCCCTTGACTGCTTTCAGTTACCTTCTCTTTGACAAGTTGGAAGTTTCTTAAAAAATCAAACACATAATTACCATATGACACAGCAATTGCATTATTGAGCATTTATCCCAGAGAAATGTAAACTCCTGTCCACACACACACAAAAATTGTACAGCAATGTTCATGTGGCTTTATTCATAATGGCTAAAAAGAACCCAGATGCCCTTCAATAGGTGAATGATTAAACAAACTGTGGTATATTCATACCACAGAATACAACTCAGCAACAAACAGGAATAGATTATTAATATATACAAGTTTGATGATTTTCAAAGACATTATGCTAAGTTAAAAAAGATCTAATCTCCAAATGTCACCTAGAGTATGATTCTATTTATGTGCTGTTCTTGAAAAGACAAAATTAAAGTGTCAAGAAAAGAGATCAGTGGTTCCCAGGGATAAGGAGTGGTAGTAGTGTGTGAATAGAAAATATTAGCATGAGGGAATTTTTTTTTAGCTAACTCTTCTTCATTATGATTATGGTAATGGTTATATGAGTCTATACCTGTGTTAAAATTCATTGACCTGTACATCAAAAAATATTTTTTTGCCTTATTTTAATTTTAAAAATAAGTTTAAAATAAATTCAATATAAAAATACTAACCCTGCAGAGTTAATGAAGTATGGACCTAATTCACTTAAAATACAGTAGCATGGAGCCAAAATGTAAAAGACCTTGAATGCCCAACAGAGGAATTTGGGATTTATTCATCAAGTAGTGAAGAGGAATGAAAGTTTTTAATTTGGGCAGTGAAAAATTATTGGAATCTGTATTTGTACAAAGATCACCCTGAAAAGAGTGGAGGATAGATTGAAGAGAGTGAGGCAGAAAGCAGGAGATATTCTAGCTGAAAGATAAATGCCTAAATGTGGGACAAGGAGAGTAAGAACAAAAGAAGCTTGGTTTGGGACGTGATAAAATCGGTAGGAATTGGCTGCTAATTTGATTGGCAGAAGAAAATGTTTTGTTACTGAGTTCTTTATTTGAAAGAACCCTTTTATTCCTGTGTTGTGGCTAAAAGCTTAATTCCATAAAATTTTAGAGCAGCAGGGCTTTGGGTCTATTTGGTGGACAAAACTGTCTTGTGTCCGAACAGAAGTTCTGGGTCACAGTCACTGAGGCAGAACTAGCCATTCCAAAGTCTGCAGACTCATTACAGTCTGACAGATCTGTGAATGCTAGCTCTGTCCCCAGATTCCCATAATAATAATAGCTAACTCTTACTGACTGCTTACCATGTGCTAGGCCCTGTTTTAAGTGGTTTGTATACAGTTTGATCATGTCAAAAACTCTCGGAGACTGTATGATTATCATTCCCTGTTTCAACATGCAAAAATTATGACACAGACCTGCTTGTAATTCACACAGAAAGTAAGTGATTGAGCCAATATTCAAAACTTAGGCAGCCTGAGTCTAAGGCCCAGCTCTTGAATGTTATAGTATGCCAGAGGTCCTTAAAAGCAGGTGAATAGAAAGAGAAAACCTCTTTGGCAGCTTTTTCTGCCTTGACAGCTTCCTTCCAATCATTTCTGCTTTCCATGTAAACTATTATTGTTGTTTTTTTTTCTTCCCTTTGCCCATCATAAAATATTACTGTCCTATAATCAGTTCCCTCAGTCACTTGGTAGAAAAACTCTTCTTAGTAGCCTTCATTTCCCTGCCTCTATTGTAGATATTTTGGTGTAAATATTGTAGATATTTGGTGACTCTTGGTGAGTCTTCCTCCTAGTTTATCCTGATAGGCAACTCTGTGTTTATATATTTCAGAGTCAGAAAGTAGGTGGGGCTGAGGGACTACTGGGATAAATTGAGTCGGCCTGCCTTCTGAGTCAGTTCACAAGCACGTAGAGTAGGGAAGTTTTATCTTAACCACAGGCAGATATCAGGGAGCCCCAGGAGGGAACAAATTTTGCTGAAGGGAGGCTGTGCATGTTAATAGTGGGTCAAGCAAACTACAGCCAGCAGGTCAAATCCAGCTATTACCTGCTTTTGTAGGTAAAATTTTATTGGAACACAGCTATGCCCATTCATGTTTTGTCTATCACTGCTTTTGTACTGCCAGAGTTGAGTCATTACAATAGAGATCATATGGCTGGCAAAACCTAAAATACCTGCTATCTGGCCCTTTATAAAAACATTTGCTGGGGCGCATGGGTGGCTCAGTGTTATACGTGTCTGCTTTCGGCTCAGGTCATGGTCCCAGGGTCCTGGGATCAGGCCCTGCATCAGGCTCCCGCCGCTCCGCGGGAAGCCTGCTTCTCCCTCTCTCACTCTCCCTGCTTGTGTTCCCTCTCTTGCTGTGTCTCTCTCTGTCAAATAAATAAATAAAATCTTTAAAAAAAATTTGCCAACTCCTGGTATATAGGATGGAACATCCTGAGTGATGGGAGATTTTTGTGTAGGGAAATACTAAGAGATTAAATCTGTATTTTTTTAAAGATTTTATTTATTTATTTGGCAGAGAGAGAGAGCACAAGCAGGGGGAGTGGGAGAGAGAGACGCAGGCTCCCCACTGAGCAGCCCTGACGTGGGGCTCGATCCCAGGACCCTGGGATCATGACCCGAGCCAAAGGCAGATGCTTAACTAACTGAGGCACCCAGGCACCCCAAGATTAAATCTGTATTTTAAATAAAGACATTTGAGAACATTGAGAGGAAGAAACTAGATGCAGGAACCAGAAAAGAAGTTATCAAAACAGGGTAGAAAAGAACTAGGGAAGGCTTAGTGCAAATAGATAAAAGGGATCAGCTTTTAGAGATGCCAGTCGAGATAGGTTCTCCAGAATTTAGTTGAAGTGTGTGTGTGTGTGTCCATGTGTACATGTGTCTGTTGGGGAGGGAGAATCTCCATTCTGAGCAAAAAAGAGGACAGGGAGAGGAAGACAGTACAAAAACAAGTAGAGAGAAAAATACCCTCCTATTTCTTTAATTTGTATTTGAAATGACCGCTATATTCCTTGCTGCAGAAATATTTCTAGAAAATTTCTAAAGGGCTGATTTTCCAAGCCTGTATGTATTAGGCAACATTTGGCCCTACTGTTTTACATGGCAGCATTGCACTCTGAGAGAAATTTGTGAAGCTTACTTGACCAGGGATAAAAATGATATGGACTCTGAGAAACAAACTGAGGGTTCTAGAGGGGAGGGGGCTGGGGGGATGGGTTAGCCTGGTGATGGGTATTAAAGGGGGCACGTACTGAATGGAGCACTGGGTGTTATACGCAAACAATGAATCATGGAACACTACATCAAAAAATAATGATGTAATGTATGGTGATTAACATAACATAATAAAATTTAAAAAATGATATGGACTGATTGCAAAGATCACATTGTTCAGTTTTTCCTTTTTTATCAAAATTGCTATAGTGACCAGATGTACTCTCACCAGAAATACATTGCTGAAGTCTGATTATTGAGAGAAGCTGTGAAGGATGTGGACATGGTGTCTTTTTTTTTTTCCCTGTGAGAACAACTCATGTAAATCTGAAATATAAAAATACTATTATCTACTCTTAAGAAACTTCCTCAAGTTCTACCATATCTACAAGATCATGGACTAAGAATAACACCTTAAGAAATTTCACGGGTCACTTGTTTTGGGTAATCATAGGCAGAAACTACTGAATTCATGCACTGCCCCAACTTGCCATCTCCCAGAGGCTTGCTTCCTTCCTGCTGAAGACCCATGAAGATGTAAAATCAGAAAAAAATATACCAAGTCAGGATCCAGCTCTGGCTATGCAAAGCACCACCCCTGTTACATAAAAGGCTGTGTGTCTTAGTCCCCAGAACTACACTTTCTCCTCCAGAGGATGACCATAATTCTCAACCACAGGGTTTTACTCCCCTCCATGAACTGAGTGTATTGGTGAAGTACATAGTCCTCCATTACACCTTGTTGGGGGAGACTGGACTATCTTTTGCAACCAGCCTCAAGGAGCCAGGAATGGCAGACAGCCATGGCGTGTGCATCAGGGGATCAAACTGAAAGTGTACATGAAAAGGGTATAATGGGGCAAGTCTGCTATGACCTTTGTTTCACTCTCAGTCACCAATTATTTTAGCATGGTACACTTAAGAGTAAATGACCAGTTGTAATAATGTCATTATGTTTGTTGCAGGTTGCACATGCTCAAGCACAGATTTTATGGCCTTGTTACTCAGAAGGCTGCTGGCTTCTGGCCCTGCCTCGACAGTTCCTAAAGAGGTCACAAATTCTAAGGTACAGGGGAATAGCAAGTGAGATTGCTCTTCCCACTTCCTTTTTTTCTGTTTTCACTATTTCCTTTTCTCCTTCTTTCCTGAACTGGGGTCCTGTCAATCTTGTTACACCATCATTGGTATAATCTGGAATGACATGTAGGTTAGAAATAATTCTACAAGAGTTGTGAAAAGATTCTTCTAGACCAGGAGTTGTGGCTTTATAATTAAGTGTCTGAATGGCTTGGGAAACATTGCTTACTATGTCTGATCTCTAATTTTCTCATCTTTATTAAGAGGTAGAACTAGATGAGCTCTAAGATACTCAAAATCCATTTGAGATGCATTCAAATCCATGAACACAATTGTTTGCAGCTCCCAGTGTTTCTATGAGAAGATACAGAGATATCCTTCAGGGTTTACAATAAAGGAGAAGGGAGAAAGGGAGAGAGGAGGATTGAGAATGGAGTCTCTGATGAGCAGACATTGTTCATTGAGAGAGGAGGGGAGAGAGGAGTTAATTCTTTTTTTTTTTTTTTTTTTTGAGACAGAATGAGAGAGAGAGAGCACATGAGAGGGGCGAGGGTCAGAGGGAGAAGCAGTTTCCTTGCCAAGCAGGGAGCCCGATGCGGGACTCGATCCAGGGACTCCAGGATCATGGCCTGAGCCGAAGGCAGTCACTTAACCAACTCAGCCACCCAGGTGCTCCAAGAGGAGTTAATTCTAACCTATGACATCTGGGGAGGCCTCTAGGACAAGGTGAGAACTGAGCATGATTTGAATGTAGGGGAAAATGATTTCAGTTTTAGATGTTTGAGTTTGAGTCTTTAATCATTAGAGAAACAAGCTTTGGAGCCAGACTCCCTGGGTTTTAATCTAAGCTCCACCACTTAGCAGCTATAACATCTTGGGAACGCTACTTAACCTCTCAGAGCCTCAGTTTTATCATCTTTAAAATGGAGAATAAATGGTAATTTATTAAGAGTAAGTGAGTTCACATATATAAAGTTCTTAGAACAGTGTGTGGTAGTAATGTTTCTGTACAGAGAAATGCTAGGAGACTAGGAAAATCTTTCTATACATAGAGTTTCTTGTGGGTATTATTGAAGATAGAAGTTAGAGCTAGGAACCAGACAGAAAGTTATTTCAAGACTACATATGGGAGAGGACAAAGTGTGATCTAGATAATGCTGCCAGGAACCAAAAGGATAGGTCAGTATTTAAAGATGAAATATCTAATATATAGTCTTTAGAATCTATAGGAGTTACTCAATATAACATTTATCACCCAGTCTAAGATGCTATCAATTGCACCCTTATTTCATGAAGTAACAGGAAATTAAAAACTCTGCCAATTAAACTGTGTCTTGCCATTGAATATAAGGCTCATCCTGATTTAAAGACTTTTTATTTATTTGAGAGAGAGAGAGAAAGAGAGTGGGGGAGGGGCAGGAGGAGAGGGAGAGAGAGAATTTCGAGCAGACTCCCTGCTGAGTGAGGAGCCCAATGTAGAATTTGGTTTAACAACCCCGAGATCATGACCTGAGCCAAAATCAAGAGTTAGACAATTAACCGACTGAGCCACCCAGGTGCCCCAAGACTCATCCTGATTTAATAGATGTTAAAATGTGGGGGGAAATGTACATGTTATAATGGATGAAATAAGATATGTGCACAATAAAGATGGTGGAGGAAAGAGAGTGGAACAAAACCCTTTCTGTAACTACAAATTTCTATTTGAGACAAGGTGAATTCTCTTACTTTAGTATTTCCAGAAAGTTTGCCTAGGACTTTTCACTCCCTGATAGGTAATACTGGAAAGCCTAGGGAATCTGGGTGCTTTTATTTAAGATGGTGTGTTTTAACTACCCTATCTCTTTCCACGTGGTCTGTATTTAACACAAAACAGAGTGAAGAATAGATCAGTGAGAAGTGGCGTTTTTTTCATGCTTGAGAAACTCGTTCACATGGACTTGGCCTATTACTACACAAATGTATTGAGTCTTTCTTGAACTTCAGATTTTGAATAGATTTGGGTCAGAAGCTGTTGAGGTAATCTGTCTTTCTTCTTGATTTGCCTCCCCCCAGTTTATCCTATTTGTTCTTTGCCATCCTTCCACCAAAGGAAAAATCTTCATTAACAGAAGTCAATGCACCTTGTAATCTCTTGGGTAATTTATAACAGGAGCATGAAGGGAAGTAGGCACTGGTATGTTCCTCTTGAAATCCCATGGCAACATGGCTGTGCCCTATATGGGGATGGAGACAAGAAAGATGCTGAGAGACCATTCTGCCCTGACTTCCCCCCCCCCATCATTCCAGATGCTAGACATCCTGGTCTTCAGTGGCTTTTAATATCCCACCACCAACAACAACTAGGAGATGACCACAGTTCATCATGCAATAGTTATCATAGGACTGTATTTCCCAGGTACACATTTTAACTCTATTCCTGGGGCTAGAAGAAATCTTGTTCTTAACCTAAAGTAAACCTTGAGGTTAGCTAGATAAGGGGACTGAATTGTGAGTATGTATGTAATCAGTGAAACAAACACAATGCCCTCATCCCTTTTGTCTTTTTGTTCATTTTCCTCTTCTTCATTCAGAATTTAAAGAATGAGGAATCGGGGCGCCTGGGTGGCTCAGTTGGTTAAGCGACTGCCTTCAGCTCAGGTCATGATCCTGGAGTCCTGGGATCAAGTCCCGCATCGGGCTCCCTGCCTAGCAGGGGGTCTGCTTCTCCCTCTGACCCTCTTCCCTCTCGTGCTCTCTGTCTCTCATTCTCTCTCTCTCAAATAAATAAATAAAATCTTAAAAAAAAAAAAAAAAGAATGAGGAATCATCTGGCACCTTTATTTATTTGGGGCTGGATAAACCAGGAGTAGTTTGGATCTGCTCAAGCAAGCAGTCTGTGGACTTTCAGCTCCATAGCCAGATCTGGAAAAGAGGCTGAGGATTTCAGGACACTGGTGAAAGAAAGATTGTTTTCTTCTTTTTCCCTGCCTCTGGTACAACACTACTTTAAACCCCAATACCTAGTATAATGTATAACATGTGCAACATAGGAGGACTACTGGACTCTCAGATCTTGTTTTCCCATTTCTAACCACTTGTCCCTGAACATGTTTTGAGTCCTTATTTTGGGCAAGGCAATATCCTTGGTACTGTAGGGAGTGCATGGGTAAAAAAGGCACTGTTGTGGGATGCCTGGGTGGCTCAGTCTGTTAAGCATCCAACTCTTGATTTCAGCTCAGGTCATGATCTCAGGGTCGTTGAGATCAAGCCCTATATTGGGCTCCACACTGAGTGGGAGTCTGCTTCTCTCTCTCTCTCTCTCTCTCCCTTTCCTTCCGCCCCTCTCCCCCACTTGTGCTGTCTCTCTCTCTTTCTCTCTCTCTCTCTCTCTAAAATAAATCAGTAAATCTTTAAAAAAGGGGGGGCACTGTTGCTGCCCTCCAGGGGATATCTAATAAAAGTAAAGCCCATACATGTGCAGATGATCTTAATATATAGAGAGCCAGTGAGTGATATGTGCTATAATCAAAGTATTAACTTCAGTGATAGAATAGTGGGATGGGTTGGAGGGAGATAAAAATTTCAAACTTGGTAAATTATGATTGCTTCAAGGTGATGTTGAATGATGAGCATTATCTTGAATGATGTAATAATGGGAGGAGATTAATAAGTAATCTAAGAATTTGTAAGGTCTTTTTGTGGGTTAGATTCAAGAATCAGTTGTAGCTGGAACATATGTGGTAAGGATGTCTTTGGGTTAGAAAGCAAGCAAAAGACAGACCTTGGTGGTTCCAATCTGTTTAATCAAAGGACTTTAAGTTTATGTTGGAGAAGTTGAATAAGACAGTTTTCTCAAATGCCCAGAAGAATGTCTAGCTCATAATAGACATTAATAAATAATTCTTAAATGAATGCTTGAGATTTGGAACAGTGGAATAAGATAGAGTTCATATTTGTACACTAGACAGATTACTCCAGGAATGATAAAACCTTGCTGATGAATTAGAAGAGAGACTGCTGATATGCGGGTCATTTGAGTCTCTCCTAGCAATCTAATTGACACTAATAAGGGCTTACACCAGGAGAGGAGCCATGTGAATAAAGGATGGACAGAGTGGGGTTGCCTTCCAGAGGTTAAAAGTATAGAATTGGATGTGGAGTTATTCTTAGAAAATATATTATAAGCCCCAAGGAGTGTGGAAGCAGCTGAAACATCAGCAGCATTCCTGTTCTCGGGCTGTTGAATGCAGCGGCCCGGTAGGAGCAGGATCCCACAGTCCCCAGGGGCAGGGCATAAGTTAGGAGCTATGAAAGAATGTGACCCTCAGTCTCCGCTTTCTGCACCTAGCGATTGCTAGCCCAAACATCCTGCTCCTCCCTTATCCCATGACTGACTCCCTGCGTGCCCATGTGTAGGGAAAAATGCAAGCCTGCTTCAAGATATTGCCATCCCTTTGTACTCCTTTCCCATGCTTGGAGGCATCTGTCCTTGCTTTTCTGATAACAAAACAAAACACAAAATAAAAGCTATGTGCAGGATTCAGCTCTCCCTCGCAGAGGCAACCCTGCACAGCCACTCAGATTGGTGTCTGAGAACTTTGTTTCAGTGCGTGACAACATTGGATAGGGGTGGAGTGAGTGTGATAGATGGCATCCAGCATCAGTGACTGATGAAAAGGAAGTTTGTCTTAGAGAAGTAGAAACTGTGGTGGAGGAGGAGAAAGAGAATGAGGGTCAGTAGAAGGAGGAGAAAGTGGTAAAAGCCACCCTCCCATTGTTCTAAGATTTATTTCCATGGGCCACTTTCTCCCCTTAGGCCTATTCCAGAAACCTCCTCCAGGACTTCTAGTGAGGGTTTACATATTGTTAGACCATACTCCCTCTGCTCTTCACAATGAGGGAAGGTGTCTGGAAACTGAGAAAGCCAAAGACCATGTGAGCAAAGGAAGTGCCTACCATACACAATCAGAAGTGGACTTGATATTGCTTAAGGAGTCTTTTGGCATC